GTCCTCTTTCGCAACTCCATTTCCCTATATAGGGAGCACCTCTCTCTCGAGTGGTCCAGAACGCGATTCTGTGTTTTGTGATCTAGATCGGAGTTGAGGATATGCGTCGTGAGTGGGATCGCTCTGAACCCCTTCGAGGGTTATTTTATTTTGGCTTTTTTGAGTGATTTAGACGCGCTTTTGCTGGACGCGGAGATTCGTCTCCGGGTCGCTCCCAGACCACTCGGTCATCCGAAGGGGCTCTCGGGCGCCGGCCTCGGGCGCCCCCCAGCCAAGGAGGGGGTGTCGGGCGTGGGTCGGGCCCGAACGACCCACGGGAGGCGGAGGATCGCCGGCGCTCTCGTGAACACGGGGGAGCGTCCGGCGGGGAAACGGATGGAAGGATCGGCTCCTGCGGAGACGTGAGTAGATCCGGAGTGGTGCGGAGAAGCCGGGGTCCCCCGGCGGCCCACGGGGTCCGTCCGGACCGAAGGAAGGATTGGCCCTACCGAAGACGCCGGGACCAGGAACATCTGCCGAGTGCCCGGGAGTGTCCAGGAGCTACCGGAAGACGTCGGGAGTGTGGGATGGGGACCGGTGGTCCCCCCAGGACCGAAGACTGGATAGCCGCAGTGGTCTGAAGACAGCGGGTTTGACGGCGGCCATTAAAGCAGCTGCCGAAGACTTCCGTTACTCACGTGGTCCGAAGAAGGTGGGTCGTCCCTCTCCGAGGAACGTAAAGGAACCCTCCCAGGCCGACGTGGCTCGTTCCGCGTCGAGTCCCCGTGCGGGGGCTCGCTTCTCTCCTTGCATCGGGTCGGCGTGCACACGCCGTGAAGGAACCCGGTTGTCGAGGGTGCGGACTCGTCCGCATCGGAGTCCCGTTCGCGGGGGCTCTTTCCTGTCCCACGGGTCGGCGTTGCCGTGAAACGAACCCGTACACGGACGGTGCGTTCGCATCGGTGTCCCCGTTCGCGGGGGCTCCTTCCAACCTGTCTCTGCCCTTGTGGCTACCACCGCGATCCTCGGGTAGCGGTCGGACTCTCCGTGCGTGTCTATGTTTCGAGTCGTTTAGAAGGGGTGTGTCTTTGACCGCCATCTCTATGCAAGCTCTGAGACGTCCCCTTCGGGGGACGCGCTGTGTCTCGTATTGCGGAAACTCGGTAGCGAGTGATGAAACACGGAACTATGCAGGAGAGGGAAGCGGTACCTCTTGAAAAATTCCGCCCGGTAAATAGAACTGAGGCATCGCCTCGGAAGGTAAAAAAGAAGATAACTGGTTGATCCTGCCAGTAGTGATATGCTTGTCTCAAAGATTAAGCCATGCACGTGTAAGTACAAGCTGTAAAATAAAGCGAAACCGCAAATGGCTCATTAAATCAGTTACGGTCCCCTTGGCGGTTGAGATTACTTGGATAACTGTGGTAATCCTAGAGCTAATACATGCACTGGAGCTCCGATCCCGCGAGGGAGACGAGCGCTTTTATTAGACCAAGACCAGCCCGCGTTCGCGCGGCAGCGACTGGTGACTCTGTATAACCTAGGGCGGATCGCACGGGCTCGTCCCGGCGACGCGTCTTTCGAGTGTCTGCCTTATCAACTGTCGATGGTAGGTCATGCGCCTACCATGGTCGTCACGGGTGACGGGGAATCAGGGTTCGATTCCGGAGAGGGAGCCTGAGAAACGGCTACCACATCCAAGGAAGGCAGCAGGCACGCAAATTACCCACTCCCGGCTCGGGGAGGTAGTGACGAAAAATAACGATACGGGACTCTTTCGAGACCCCGTGATCGGAATGATCGCAAGGTAAAGTGTGTTCGAAAGGAACGATTGGAGGGCAAGTCTGGTGTCAGCAGCTGCAATAACTCCAGCTCCGATAGCGTAAGCTAAATTTGTTGCGGATGAAAAGCTCGTAGTCGGATCTCAGCCCGGGACGGTGGGGCGCGTCAGCGCCCCTTCCGGTCTCGCGGGCTCTGGCCGTTTTCCGAACCGCGATCTTAACCGGTCGTGGCGTGGGGTCCGGTCAGTTTACCTTGAAGAAAGCAAAAGCAGGCCTGTCGCCCGCACAAGGATGCATGGAAAAATGCAAGAGGACCTCGGTTCTATTGTGTTCGTTTTCGGAACCGGAGGTAATGATCGACAGGAACAGACGGGGGCATTCGTACTGAGACGCTAGAGGTGAAATTCTTGGACCGTCGCAAGACGAACTACTGCAAAAGCATTTGCCAAGAATGTTTTCATTGACCAAGAACGAAAGTCAGAGGTTCGAAGGCGATCAGATACCGCCGTAGTTCTGACCATAAACTATGCCAGCCAGCGATCCGGTGCTGTTTGAGAAAGGACACGCCGGGTAGCTTCCTGGAAACCAGAGCTTCTGGGTTCTGGGGGAAGTATGGTTGCAAAACTGAAACTTAAAGGAATTGACGAAAGGGCACAACTAGGGATGGATTCTGCGGCTCAATTTGACTCAACACGGGAAAACTCATCCGGTCCGGACACGGCGAGGATTGACAGATTAATGGCTCTTTCTTGATTCCGTGGGTGGTGGTGCATGGCCGTTTTTTGTTCGTGGGCATGACCTGTCTGGTTAATTCCAATAACGAGCGAGACTCTTGCCTGCTAAATAGGCTGTTCCGTGATGTTTCACGGGGAGATAATCTTGGAGGAACAAGCGGTTTCGAGCCGCACGAAAAAGAGCAAAAACAGGTCAGTGATGCCCTTAGGTGTCCGGGGCCGCACGCGCAATACAATGAAGGCGACAGCGTGTGCTTTTTTTCCCTGGCCGAGAGGTCCGGGCAACCCGAGGAAACGCCTTCGTGCTGGGGATAGGGGACTGTAACTAGCCCCTTGAACGAGGAATCCCCAGTAGGCTCGAGTCATTAACTCGTGCCGACTGAGTCCCTGCTCTTTGTACACACTGCCCGTGGTTAATACCGATTGAGTGGTTCGGTGAGGTCTTCGGACCTGCGCCTCCGTTCCTTCACGGAAAAGGAGTTTCGGAAAGATGATCGAACTCGATCACTTAGAGGAATTACAAGTCGTAACAAAGTTTCCGTAGGTGAACCTGCGGAAGGATCATTGCTTATAATATGCTTGTCACTTACCGGGGCTTGGGGTCTGCCCCGTCGAGCTTCTCCCAGACTATAGTCGAGGGTGTGCTCGGAAAGGCCCCACATTGAACGGAGCCTGCTCCGTGTGGCGGAGATGTTGGCTACTCCGCCCCAGACGAAGCGACGACCGAATGGTGATGCAAATGAGAGAGACTCGGGAAGGGGTGGCTCCTTCGGGAGCCCGTGGCTCGGAGACCTGAGATTTCTTTCGTAGAGGAGGCATGCGGCAGCCGATCTCCATGGATCGGGTGCGCGTTTGGAGAGGTTGAAAATAAAGGAATTGACGGTGCGGACTCTGGATTTTTGATTATAACCCTCCTTAATTTCTTCCATTTTAAAGTTTTCAATTAAACCCGAATGAATAATAATTGCAGGACTTCACAAACCCCTCCCACCTTACTTATAGTAAATTCTACTCTCATGCGGGCAGCCAATCGCAGCATCGCAGTTACTCACTCAGCAGCCAATCTGAATACAAGATTTCAACCTCTCCTCCTCTCCAAATTTTTCGACCACCAGTTCTCCATTTCTTCCAACAAAGTTCCTCTACTCTACAACAGATGGCGCCAGATCTCCAATAAACTTTGATCCTCCATAACTCGTTTTCTACTCATCCGAATGCCAAGAAACTTTCACCATATCAACATCAACTCTCTCTCTCCAGAATGAAAACACCACCTTCTCAAAGTAACTATCTTTCAAGATTTGGGCTAGAGGAGCACCCCGTGCTCTAGGCGCCCATTGAAATTTCAATGTCAACGTGCGGACTCTGGATAGGCGAGGCGTTGGTGATCTCATGCGGGGGCAGGGGGTCGTCCGATGCTTCGCTCGTTCGGTTCGTCCGAGTTGTGGATTCTGCCTCTCTTTCGTCTTCCTGCCCGGGTGCGCCGTGGCCGACTCGAGGTAAAGGTAATGGTAAGCGATGCCTCCGACCCCAGAGAGTGACGAGAGAGTTCAAAAGAGTAGCCTGGGCGGTTGGAGGAGACGAGAAGCGACGACGCACGGATTATGAAATAGTAGGAGGCTTTTTTTGGATCGACCGGATGAAGTGGAGACGGAGCCTTCGGGCGGGACAGCCAGGTGCGGTGGTGGTGCCATGGACCGGCGGAGAGGAGGTCGGGGAGTTATGGCCGTGTGGGGCGAGGGGCCTGCGTGTCCGGTTTCGGGCCGGAGATTCGGGTTCGGGCGTGCGAGGTGTCGGTGATCCCATGCGGGGGCAGGGGGTCGTCCGGTGCTCCGTGCGACCGGTCCGGGTGTCTGGTTCCCGATTCGGTGCGTGGCGTTCCGGACTCTACGCCGTCGTCTCTTCCTCGGCGGGTGCTCTGCCGTAAGGGGTTCTTGCCTCCGATTAAGGCGTCTCTTTTTTTGTGCGACGTGTCCGGGTCGACGCCTCCTCCGTGGGTGGCTGTCGTTGTGGATCGTAGCCTCTTTCTCGTTCGGGTGGCTCGCGAATTTTTTTACGGAATTTTTACAAGTTCCCGATTCAATTTAGAGTGGAATATGGTCGTCGCCGAGTCTCGAAGAGGGCGTACCTGCTTCCCGGACCTTAGAGGTCTATGGGGGTCTGAGTTCCTTCGGGGGTTCGGGCTAGGTGCGAGAGCTGCACCCGAGAGTGCACCGTGCCCCTATATTCTCTGTCCCTATCCCCGCCGATTCGAACTCCAACAAAATTACTATGACAACTCTGAGCAGTGGATCACTCGGCTCACGGGTCGATGAAGAACGCAGCTTGCTGCGATAATTGGTGTGAATTGCAGGACACATTGAACACCGAACTTTCGAACGTGCATAGCGGCCTCCGGTCTTCCGGGACTGGAGGCCTCGCCTGTTTGAGGGTCGTATGAAGCCCAGACTCTAAGAGTCAATTGGCCGCGTCGGGTGCGAACCCGTAGGCTCAAGTGCGAAAGGAATTCTCCCGAGCCGTGGGAGCAGTCTCGAGTGGCCGGTATCCGGGGGAGCCTTTCACCCGCAGGGCTTCTCTCCGGTTCGTCCGGCTGCTCGCTTGAGGCGTTCCCCAAGAATCGGGAGGAGGTACCTTAAAAGACTTTGAATTTTTTTTTGAAACGACCTCGGATAGACGAGACTACCCGCTGAATTTAAGCATATTAATAAGCGGAGGAAAAGAAAACAACAGTGATTCCCCTAGTAGCGGCGAACGAACAGGGAGGAGCCCAGCGCCGAATCCTTGCCTCGAGCAGGGAAATGTGGCGTTTTGGTGAGTCGGGAGTGTGGATCTAGAGTGCGCGGGAAGTCCCCACGATCGGGGCATTTTCCTGAGAGGGTGTGAGGCCCGTTCTTGCGCGCCGTAGTTCCCTCTCGGTTCGCCCGCAAGTCGGGTTGCTTGGGAGTGCAGCCCTAAGACGGGTGGTAAACTCCACCCAAGGCTAAGTACGACCGTGAGACCGATAGCAAACAAGTACCGTGAGGGAAAGTTGAAAAGAACTTTGAAGAGAGAGTTCAATAGAACGTGAAACTGCTCAGAGGGAAACGGGTGGCCCTCGAAGTCCAGTGTCGGGGGAGTTCAGGCCCGGTTTTATTTCTTCCCTTTGGAGGCCGACGGTGTTGCGGCGCAGTAGGTCGGTGCCCGACCCGTCTTGAAACACGCACCAAGGAGTCTAACATGTGTGCGAGTCACTGGGTCTCGAAGAAGCCCACGGGCGCAAAGAAATCGATTCTTTTTTCGTAGTCGGGATCCCCCGCTTTAACGCGAGGGGCGCACTGACGGCCTGCCACACTCTCCGGAGTCGAGGCGGAGCCTGAGCACACACGTTGTGACCCGAAAGATGGTGAATGCCTAGACAGGACGCAGACAGGGGAAACCCTGTTGTAAGTCCGAAGCGGTTCTGACGTGCGTATAGGGGCGAAAGACTAATCGAACCATCTAGTAGCTGGTTCCCTCCGAAGTTTCCCTCAGGATAGCTGGCGCTCGATCGAAATTTAGTCACGATCGGTAAAGCGAATGATTAGAGGCCTTAGGGCCGAAACGACCTCAACCTATTCTCATACTTTCAATGGTCGTAGAGTCCTCCTTTCTCGGTTGGACGGTGGATGAGAATGCCTAGTGGGCCACTTTTGGTAAGCAGAACTGGCGCTGTGGGATGAACCAAACGCCGGGTTAAGGCGCCCGATGCAGAGACGCTCATGAGACCCCATAAAAGGTGTTGGTTGCTCTAGACAGCAGGACTGTGGCAATGGAAGTCGACATCCGCTAAGGAGTGTTTAACAACTAACCTGCCAAAGCAACTAGCCCTGAAAATGGATTGCGCTCCAGCGTCGAGCCCATACCCGGCCGGTTCTCTAAAAGTTTTTATATTTTTATCAGAGAACTGAGTAGGAGGGCGGTGGCGTGGAAGGGCGTGGCGCGAGCCTGCCTGGAGCCTCCACCGGTGCAGATCTTGGTGTTAGTAGCAAATACTCAAGTGAGAACCTTGAGGACTGAAGTTGGAGAAGGGTTCCATGTCAACAGCGTTTGAACATGGGTGAGTCGGTCCTCAGCCAACGGAGAGATCCGTGCTAGGCGAGACTTTACGAGTCACGCTATGGACGAAAGGTTATCGGGTTAAGATTCCCGAACCCGGACACGAAATAAATGAGACCCCGGTCTCTGGTGCGGTAACGCAAACGAACTCGGAGACGCCCGTGGAGGCACCGCGGAAGAGATATATTTTTTTTCTCTTCGTAAGAGGTGCGAAGTCCCTGGAAAGGTGTCATGCCGAGATAGGGACAGGCGGCCTCGAAAGAGCACCTCGTTTCACGAGTTGTGCCTGGGACCCCTTTACAGGCCCTTGCAAATCCGAGGGAGAGTCTATGATTTTCGTGCCGGGCCGTACCTATATCCGCATCAGGTCTCCCAGGTGAACAGCCTCTAGTCACTAGAACAATGTAGGTAAGGCAAGTCGGAAAATTCGATCCGTAACTTCGGGATAAGGATTGGCTCTGGGGGCCCCATTCGTCGGGCTGTGTCTCTGAAGCCCTGTTTGCGTACCGTTCGGACTGGGATTCTCCGGGGTTCTGGACTGATATGTGCCTGCGGGGTGGAAGTACGCAGTTTTTTTTTCTTCGGTGCCCCTTCTCGGGGAACCTTGGAGTGACGACGGACGCTATGGGGCCGACTCAGAACTGGCACGGACCCTGGGAATCCGACTGTCTTATTAAAACAAAGCATTGCGATGGTCTGCGAGAGATGTTGACGCAATGTGATTTCTGCCCAGTGCTCTGAATGTCAAAGTGAAGAAATTCATTGAAGCTCGGGTAAACGGCGGGAGTAACTATGAGTCTCTTAAGGGGACTCGGTACCCCTGAACAATTTTTTTTTATTAATGCATTTAAAAATTTGATTTTAGCAAGCTATGAAGTGTTTCTATTCAAGAAAATGATTTTATGTGAAAATTTGAATACACTGTTAACACAATTCTGAAAATTTAAATTTTTTTAAAAAAATTTGAAAAATTTCAAAACCCTACTCCTCCTTTATTTATTAATTTTTTATTATGAAAATTTTTTGTAATACTCTCAAGGATATTTTAAACAAATTTAGGGATCGATTTTGTAATAACTTTTCAAGTTTTGGAGAAAAAAAATAAAATGTTGGTCGACATGCTAAAATTCAGCAAAAACACAGATATCTCTTACATTATTATTTTTTTAAAAAAAAGTATACATTTCTTTGCAAAATGGATCCCTAATTTTGTTACATGTATGATATATAACACATAGAAAAAAAATGGAAGTGATTGATTAATATTTGTGGGAGGAGTAGCATTTTAAACGCAATGATGTATCGAAAAAACACAAACTGAGAAAAACCCTTTTAAAGTTTATAACTCAGAAAAAATAAATATTATATGCTTCAATTAACTTAAAATACCCTTTTATATCATAAGTTATATATTTTTCTTCAAAATAATAGCATTTTCACAAAATTTCATTAGATATTTTTAATAACAGATAATATTTTTCAAAGTATTAATTACAATTGACGAACATGAAAAATGAAGGAAAATGTAACATAATAATAAATAAAACTATTTTTAAAATTTTGTACTTCATATATCACCAATATTATGTTTATATAAAATATATATAATGAATAAAAACACAAATTATGAAAAAAAATTATATTAATATCTTAATTTAAATATTATATATGCACATTTTATAATGAAAAAAATTATGATACATATTTACAATATTATTAACACCTTAAAAGTATCCTGGTCTATATGTAACACCTTCCTTTTTTAGCATTAATGCTTCTCTTTTTAAAATTGCTTTCTTTACTATTTTACGAGCTCACTGATATTGGTGGTTTTTGCGTCTCATTCGAAACAATTTTTTTCGTGATTCCAGGATTACACCAAGATCATGTGTGCATTTCCCAAAAGGTACGCGCATAGATTTTTGTGTCTCCTTGACACTTCGTAAAGTCCCTTTATTAAATTCACATATCGCTTCATTTACTCCATGTATGACACGACCTTTATGAACAAATACTTCTTTTGGACACTTTGACCAAATCATGTTATGCAAACTTTCGTTTGCATTTTGCGTACCGCAATTGATGCACCTTTCTAATAGTTCATTAGCAGCAAGTCGTTGGTAAATTGGAAGGATATGTGGCAAAAAGCTTTCTTTTATTGGTGTTCCCACATGAAGTTTGTGAGAACCTGGTTTTTCTCCCTTTGCTATCGCTGATTGGTAAAAACACCAAGAACTAATACCTGTTGGACATTTTGAATGTTGAGGCTTTTTGTCAGTGGAAATGCTGTGATGTAATGTGGCATATATTGCTCTTTTCATGGCAAGAGCATCCCCTTTGTTTTTTATTATGGCCTTCTGATAATAAGTAGTTAATTTCTTAATGGTATTTTCTTTTAAAGTTCCATAACCTTTCCCACCTAACGAGATGCCTCGAGCTCTTGATTCCTTCACAGCATTCCGTAAAGCAGTGCCTAACCTTTTACTAACATGGTTTATGCATTCCTCTTTTTTTATTTTCACATTATCCCCATAAATATTTCTTTCCGATAAGTAATTAAAAGTTTTGCAATCACCATCAGATAATAACGTAGAATAGCGAAATCCCAATGATTGCGATCTTTCCCACAGTATCATTGCTGCCTCCATTTCCATCGAACCCGATGAACCAGTGTGATTGATATCACACTCATCTCTATGTCCTTCAAACCACATATCATATTCTGCAGTTGACTTTCCAAGTTCTCTTTTTGCTATGGAACAACTTCGACATACTTTACACATAACTTCGAAGTCAATGACATAGCCAGTAAGTATATCAATGACACAACCAATGCCAATCAAAGATGTATGGCCTCGTGTCAACCAACTACCATCAAAAGAAACACTTATGTCGACAAATGGGACATTAGCAGGTACTTCATATGCATTTCGTACTTCAGTACGTACTTCTTTTAGCATAGTCTTTGCAGCAACACCATAGGCTTTGTGAAGAACTTTAGTACATTTGTTGTATGTCCTCGATGAAAAAGGCAAAATATTTGTGGCCATACAAAATTTCTCTATGGCTGTATAACCTTTTCCAATGTTGCAGAATGCTTGAGTAACCCGTAAATTGATGTCGGGAACAGTATTTGTTTTCCTTTCATTCGATGTTTCTACGTCACAAACTTTAGAAGCACAAGAACTGCAGATTAAATTTAAAGCATAGGAAAATCCTACCTTTTTTCCGAGTTCTAGCTTTAAGGTTTTTTTGTCGCATTCAGGGCATTTCAGTTTGTCAAACAGCTTACTGATTTGAACAAAATTCACAAACAAAAAATTTCCAGTATCAGAACAATCAGTCTTTTCAACATTTAATAATTGTTCAATTCTGATAGTAGGAACAGCAAATTTTTCTTCGGTAGTATCAACTATATGATCAGTATCACCACACCAACGTTTAGTATTCATTTGTACTGAGTGACAACGTCGTTTTACACGAGGCATTTTTTATCTTCAATCCACAAGAAAATAAACACCAAAAACTTATTAGATTCCAGACAAAGAATAAAGAAAGAAAGTCTTGATAAAGACTGTTTTTTTTTCTCAATATAAAGCGTGTTTATAGATAGCTCGATATAGACACTACAAATTAAACACGAGATATCAACAACAAATCGCTTGTAATGAAAGTTGTAGTTACAAAAAAGGAACGCTAAAATGTTACAGTTATGATTAAAACGAAATAAAATTAATAATAGAAAAGTATTGATAAAAAAATAAAATAAAATTAGTGACATCTCTAAAAAAAGGGGCGTGGTCATGTCACAAAGTTTTTTTGTTTACATTTTTCAATTTCATTTTTTTCAACCTTCTCTTGCTCGTACATACAAAAGTAATATATCAATCGAAAGATAATAATTCAGAGAATATTTCGAAATAAAAATAAAAAAATCGATTTTTTGGTCATTTTTGGGGTACCGAGTCCCCTTTTTTTGGGGTAGCTAAATGCCTCGTCATCTAATTAGTGACGCGCATGAATGGATTAACGAGATTCCCAACTGTCCCTATCTACTAACCTCGCCAGGACTTGTCCTGCCGGTCTCAAGCCCGGATAAAGAGGGAGAGGTGGAGGGAGAGCGATTCAGAACATAGGGACTCCACGGACCCGACACGGTGGGAAAGGGAAAGCCTGCAAGCCCCGGAACCCGTGACGAGAAAGACTGAGAAGATGTCTAGGCGAGTGGATGGACCTGCTCCAGTATCTGAACCTCTCGAGGAACAGACAAAAGGGGATTTTGACTTTTTACACATCCCCTAGATGGACTGGGCTTTTTACCCAGCCAGAGCATTCGATCTTTATTATCGCTCTAGTAGTGATAAAATGTTTTGCTTTAATTGCTGCCCTCCAAAAAAGTTCCAAGTGGAGAGGTAGGACGGTGTGTATGTGCCAATGGAAATATGTCACTCTAACTCAAAATTATATGAAATTCTTAAAACAAAAAAAGGATACCAAGATCCTTAGTCTGGATGAACATAGCATAGTCTACCTTTTCGGTGGGGTACCACTTCCCCTTTCAAAAAGCCGAATAAAATAATAAAATAACCAAGAAGTTCATCCAGCTTTCGGCACTTCATTAAAGGCGAAACATATTTCTAAGCACCACATCAAAAGCCAAAAACAGTAAAATTCCTGCAAAGATCTACAGCTAGGCAGGTGGGGTATGAGTTATCGATGCGGAAGGCACTGGAAAGGGGGCAACCTGCCTTTAATGGCAGCTCCCTAGAAACCGACTGGTTGGGTGCCACTGGTAACAGAAGCCCTTCGGGTATGGGAGGGGAGTGGAAACCTCCTGGAAGGTGCAAGAAGTTGTGTGGCTCATATCCAACGGTTCAAGGGCTCAGCACTTGAAGAGTCCCTGTCAATCCCTACGGGCAGAAACCGGATAGCGCGCAGTGAGAAATCCGCCCATAGAGGCCCGTGCTTAAGAAAGGGGCACGCTGCGACATCAGGTGGACGCATGGGATAGTGCAGGGTACCCTCACACGATAAAATGGGGCTCAGGGTGAGTTGGCCATTACATCCTGGGGCAAAAAAAAACGGCCAACCCTTTCTATACTTTATTAACCATGGCTACAAAAGAAAATATTAACGAGTATGCGTTGCACACGTTCTTAAATGCCATTGAGACTGACGAGGATGCTCTGCCCTCGAGGCAGGTCACCTCAATAAGCTCGAGCCCGGCAGTGCTGGGGACCAGCACTCCTTCCCCTATTCAGGGGAAGACTGGTCTTCTGAGACTCAGCGCGAGAAAAGCTGAGTTGAGGAAATCGAGGAAGAAGAGAAGAGGGCCGAGGAAGCTTATCCTCGAGAATAGCCCGAGTAAGTTCATAGCTGCCATGTTCCGAGTTGACTCGGTACTAGACGGCCTCGAACTGAAAGAAGGGCAGAAGGTCACAATCAAACAGCTGTTGCTAGAGGCGGCCGGGATCCTCTGGCAATCGGAGTGTGAACTCCAACAGCTGAAGACCAGAGTTCCCAAGTGGACATCCAAATCGGAGATGGGAACTCAAACGGATGTTGTGACTGTCGAAGATGACAGAACCCGTGCTGAGACTGCAAACACCAGCAGTCAAACTGATGTTGCTACTGTTCGCGAGAACAGCAAAGATGTTGTGCCTGTTCAAGAGAACAGGAAAAAAGGCAGGAAGTCGGCTTCTCAACCGACAGCCAGCTCTGACAGATCATACGCTGCAATGGCGGCAAAGAAGCCACCACCAGCACCCCGAAAACAGGCAAAGGGGAATGATACTGCCAAAGCACAA